GTGTGTGTGTGTGTGTGTGTGTGTGTGTGTGTGTGTGTGTGTGTGTGTGTGTGTGTGGAATATGGGTCGGACATCACCTGCTCTAGTGATGTTATAAACTGGCTCCAGGCCTTATTGATGCTACGATGGCTGGCTACTGTCACATGGGGCCAACTCCCACATTTCACAGCTGAACGAGCTGGAACGCTGTGTGCTACTAAACTCCACAGGGTTTATCCTTTTTTTTTTCTTTTTTCTTTTTACGAACAATACAGGATAAGATGACGTCTGTTCGGATTGAGACCTTTAAAACTATTATCAGCACAAACTGCGTCCAAATCCTTTCCGAGGGTTTCTGGAGGCTATAGTTGCTCGTCACAGCTCAGTGACGTAGTCTGCAGACTGACAAGTGTTTGCAGAATCATATTTCTTTTTTTATTTGGTCATTTTCATCTTCAACAAGATGTTTGTTTATGTTTTGCAAGAATACAAATGCAAACGTGCATTAAAATTGTCAGGTTTGCGCAGATATTTAAAGATTGACAGTGGCCTGCATGGGAACATATGCAAACAACAATCAACCCATTTTATTCCAATTTTTTCTCTGTCTTTGTTGGTGCTGTTACCTGAGAGCTGCTTTCACCACGTCACCACATTTGCATGTTTTAAAGTTAGACAGCCGTTTATGTGTGCACTGTTTACATTATTCAAAAGCTACTGTCAGCCATAAACAAAGATCTGTTACCAACACTGTCAGTATCGGCAGCTGATACCTCCCTATGTCGTTCACACGAGTCTTTCTCGCAATGCTTTGGATTTGTTGTGTTTTTTTTCGAATTCAAGACTGATTTTCTATGAGGCTTCCACTTTTTCCAGAAGGATGAGCCTGGATTCAGATTCTATTTTTGAGCTTCACCTCAGTGGGAGTTTCAGCCCTTTGTTTTAACACCCATTCAGTCGACTCCTTGATTAATGATGGAGAGTCGTGAAGGAGAGAAGGAGAGTCCAGAGCAGCAGCTAGAGCTCTTTCCCTCTTTCACTCAGACACTCAACGAGATGCTGAACACAGACGTCAATTCAGAGCCGCAAGAGGAACCTGAGCCTGAATCCAACCAGGAGACCCCGGAGCCTGCGAGCGGCCTCCTGCAGCTGAAGCTCATGGAGTCCCGAATACAGAAGCTTTACAGCAGACAAGTGGTCCTGCAGAAGATGCAGCACCTGAAGAAGACTGCAGGATGTAAAAGTGACACGACAAGTGAGTCAGCTTCTTAATGTGATCATTAACATTTTGAATAATTATTAGACTCGTTAGGATTAACATTTTTGCAGAGCCTCACAAAATAATTTTGTGCAGCACTATTGTTTTTCTCCTTTCTGTCCTGTTGATACCTGGTGATGAACAGCTGATCACTGCAGCAAGCTGTTTCTTTTTTCACTTCCTTTACCACCAGTTTTAAATATAAAATGAATCTAAAATCAGAATTTGTAGTTTAGAATGTTTTTTGTTTTTTTTTCAAGTTAATCATTTTATAAAATTGGACTGAAAGTCAATTGAAATAAAAATGTTTTTATTAAGATTGACAGAAATTATACATGAGATATGCATGTGTCAGGTTTTATATAATTCTACTTTTTATTAGTTTTATAAGTTATCTGAGAACAGTTTTTATCCATAACTTCCTATTTGTAGATGTACAATAATAAGTCACGACTGACATATACGTCTCCACTTCAGTGACTGGTGAGGAGAGTGGTGAAGTGTGTGAGCTGGAGAAAGTTCAGGAGGAGCTGCAGGAGCTGCAGCTTAAAAAGGAGCAGCTGGAGACGCAGATGCAGAACTTCACCCTCACAGCAGACGGAGGTACGTTCAATATACAAATAAATAAATAAACACAGCTTTCTCACAGGGATTTTATATATAGGACAAAACATCACATAAGTTTGAATAAATGATTGAATTAATAATGTTTAATTACAGAGTTTTTTTTAGAAATGACAAAAAAAAAATGACTAGGTATGAATAGGTATAAATACATAAAACAAGAATATAAATACAATTTTCTCACAGGGCTTTTAAAGGAAAAAAAAATCAAAAAAGAATCAAAAAATGATTTTTTTTTTACCAATAAATAATTAAATACAGTTTTCTCGCAGGATTTTTTTCCACAGGACTTTTTAAAATGAAAAATATGACAAAATGACACAGTTATAAACAGATGAAAGTAAAAAAAATACAGATTTCTCAGAGACTTTTCTTTGAAGGACAAAAAATATCTAATCATTTCCTCTCAATGCATTTTATGAAAGACAATAAATAACATACATTTACATCAATAAATGAATAAACAAATTAATATAAACAGTTCTATTATCTTATGTTTTATGAAGGACAAAAATGTCATAAATATAAGTAAGTCAATAAATAAATAAAAAAATAAAACTGTTATATGGCATGGTTTTTTTCATGATGGACAAAAAATATAAATGAACTAAGAAATACTTTTTTATATGGAACAAAAATGAAATTAGCATAAATAAATAAAAACAGTTCTCTCACAGGGCTTTTTTTTATGAAGGAGAAAAAATGTCACAGATATAAATAAATAAATACAGTTTTCTTCTTTGTAAAATATTGCTGTGCATCAAAGTGTAATGGGCTTCTCTCTGACACCGTGTCCTTCCACCAAGTTTTTTCAAAATCTGATCAGTTGTTTCATGATTTCATTGTCGTCCGTGTGTCTTTTATTCGGATTATGCAAAAACTACTGAACCGGTTTGATCAAAATTTGGTGGAAAGACGGAATATGGGCTAAAGAAGAACCATTAACTTTTGGTGTGGATCTTTGGATTGGATTTTTGTTTTACTTTCTTTAACATTGCGAGACAGAGAGTCTAGGTTTAGGTTTGAGTTCCCTGAGTGTCCCTCTAGTTCTTACTGCATCTATACTGTCACTGTTTTTCTCTATCAGGTCAACAGGATGAATGTCCAACTATTTATAAAACTGAGACGCCCTATGGAGGGATCTACACGCTGCCACCTTCTCAGCTGACACAGGGGAACACCACAGTGAAGCAGAGTGTAAAAACTACTCCCGAGGCAGAAACATCCCCCACCCCCCCACCCCTCGTTCCAGGTGGGTTTTACAGATATACTCAAAGTACACATGTACCATATGTATATATATCATGTATTTAAATATCCTGCTTTCTATTAGGGCTAATAACAGTACAATCTCTGTCTCTCTTAGTGGAAAGCCTGGGTTCGATGTCAGACTTCACCCGCTGTCCATCCTGTAACGAGGTCGTCTGTACAGTAACCCACACCACACACAGCGACATAACGTGTCTGCTGTGTTGTTTGTGGGCCTCGATTGGGTAGCCAACTTTCTTTTTTAACCTTGCTAGACTGCAGCACTAAAACATTAGCGTCTTAAAGTTACAACTGAACAGTTGCAGTTTTTGCAGGAAGTAAGATCAGTAGTTGCAAAGATGGAAGACTTGACCGCCCCCCAAAAGTGAAGCCTTGGTCAGAAATCCAGGCTAGTACGTGGGAAATCACTTTTTCTCAAAGTTGTTGAGGAGTTTGGTTTTATTTGCTTTAAAAAGGGGGAGAAATGTGGTGATTGACAGCTCAGACTGACTCACGATTGGTCGAGCACGTCTCAACCTCGATGCTGCAGCTCAACCCCCCATCGCTGGCTGCAAATAGGCAAGATTGACTGTAAAACGTAAAAAGAGCCAGGTTCATAGTTGAAGGACAGAAATGAGAGTGATATCTACCCTCTCCTCTTACAGTCTAAGTAGTTAAAGACACTGCTGTTGCAAAAGTTTCAGTTTGAACTCTGAACCTCAGACATCATGTTCTCTCTTCCTGTCAGGTGTGTAGCAGGCTGCTGTCTGATCCCTTTCTTCCAGAAGAATTTAAGGAACATCCACCACCATTGTCCCCGGTGTCAGGCTCACATACACACCTACCGGCCACTCTGACATTGACTCTCTTCCCCTGCACCTCATGAAGGAAACTCCACAAACCTTTCCACATGTTGCTTCTTTATACGGAGTTGATTTAGAGCCGCTCAGTGAAATGTGCCGGCATTCGACTGCAACATAATTTTGCTCGACGACCCTGGTTCTGTGACGTGACAGTGAATAACATGGAATTCAAGCTGGAAATGGAACTTGGTGAGTGTGTCAGAGACAAGTGCTGGTGTACGAACAATGCAGTCTCCTTTGTATTAGGAAAATATATTTATAGACACACATCGTTCATATGGAAAATGGAACTGAACTATTGAACAGATGCAAACACATGCAAATCACCTGACAAGTCCAACAAGGAACTGTATGCTCTGACAAACACAAGCCAAATCAAGTGGCCCTGTCCAATTTTTTTTTGGAAAAGGCTACATATGTGTACAAATATATGCATGTATATACTTCTTTTCTTTAAAAGGTGTAAAATATTCTGTAATTAACTTCTGCAGAGGCATAGTTCACAGTACACCAAATTATTTTATTGACACATAAAGGCATACAGTACTTATATACACATCGCTTTTTTGGAGTATTTACAAAATACGGAGCCCATGGATGTTACACATGTATAAAAATATGCATTGCATCTATATAAATATATACACAATGTGCAAAACATATGGCATTACAAACAAGAGGCATGGCATGGGTGGTGGAGACAGAGAAGGAGACTCGGCTACAATGAAGAATGAATGAAGAATCATCTGATATTATACCAAAATACATATATTGTAATGACTCATCTTGTTCAGCTTCGCCATGAGAAGAATTGTACAATGTTCACATGATGGTAAACAACATGGATGAATGAGGACGAGCGGGAGAACAGACTGATGTGGTTTAAACACACCTCTAAAATAACTTCATTTAATCGAATCCTCGCTTCACCACTCGGATAAAAAGTGATTTTGAACCAATGTGTGACTGTGTATGCAGTAAAGGCTCCTGCACAAGTAAAATCAAGGCAGGATTAGACATACAGTACAGTATATCCAGGGAGAGCCGCCATTATTGCTCTTAGCTGTCCCCGTCTGGCCAGTCAGCAACAAACACGGCCAACACTGGGAGCCGTAACGTCGTCATGTAGATCTACTGCAGCCAAGAGGTTTGTGTCTGATATGATATGAACAAAAAAAACTCTGCAAACCAAAAATATACACATGAAATCATTGTTTACAGATTTTACACAACCGTCCAAACAAGATTACATGGTTTCTGCTATTACGTTTCAACCTAAATAAAAAAGATATTATGTTCCTCTGCCTTTTTAGGCAACAAAATATCAAATCTGCCTTAAAGCAGACACACTGAAGAAGAAAACAACAATGACCTCATCGTCTCACAACATGTGACCTATACCGTTTGTGACGAAAGAAAAACAACTGAAATACAACACAACAAAAAGTGTGTTTCTGTGCAGTATTTGGCGTAACTCTGGGTTTTGAGCACTGGTGTCTTGATGTGATGATAAAACGTGTTACTGCAGCAGTAAGAGCATCAAACTCTGACAAGACAGTGTCAACATAAAGGGCTCTCTGTCATTTTGCTCAGCACTCCACATTATTGCTGATGTAAACAGCAAATCAAAAAAAAAAAAAACAACTTTTAAAATAAAATAGCCCAACTGACTTTTTATTCTGCCAGAAATGACCCTGAAGTGCCGTCATGCCACAACTGGAGAGCACACGCCCCCTCTAGTGCCCACGGACGTAATTACATGATAAAGTGGTTAAAATGCGAGCATCACTTCACAGAATGTGACTGATATAAAAAAGAGAGAGAATTAAAAAGAGCAATCTCGTTTCAAAGTGCCATAGAGAAGGACTGTATCAATCCTAAAAAGATATTTCGACTCAGATACTAAATCATTGTTTTGGCTTAGTGAGTGGGATATGATGTAATCCATGGGAGCGTTTATGACGGCTTTAGAGGGAGCTCAGCCCTCGAAAGGTGTGTGTGCGCGTTTGTGACTGTTTCACACCGACGGGACAACACGGATAAAAACAGTACAACAGTCATCAGAAGCCGTTTGAAGAGTAAACCTTTTAGAAGAAGCCGAATGGATTTTTTTGTAGATGTTTCATACAACTTGAGGGCGATGGCTGTGAAAGTGCTCGAAACGGTGCCCAAGATTAAATGCGGATACGATCATGCACACAGAGACGCACACCGATGTTCATGCAGGAGACAGGAAGACGATTCCACGCACACAGACACACACATAGATCAACATGCTTGCTTCACTCACTCGCAGCGTCAGGAGACTTTGTTGACAGTCCACTGTGGCTGATGCATCACTGTTAGACGACCTTCATCATCCGTCCATTCACTATCTACACCGCTTATCTTTTGAGGGTCGTGGGGGAAGATGGAGCCAATCCCATGTCGACAGCCGGCCTAATATAGAGACAAACAACTCCTATGTTAACACTGTCTCACCGACAAGTTTATTTAGAGTCTAACCCTGCATGACTTTGGACTGGAGGGATTCAAACTGGCAACCCTCTTGTTGCGAGGCAACAGTGCTAACTGCTTTACCACAGTGCTGCCTAACTGTCTGTTATTTAAACAAAGACCCTCCAGATGATGGTTGGTCTTTAGATAAATGGGCTGGAAGAAGAACAGACTAACTTATCAGCTACAGGCAAACCTAACAGTCACATTTGATGGCTAGTGATGCAGTAGTTCCCCATCCTGACACACACACACACACATTCACACACGAACACACACACACACACACACACACACACACACACACAAAGTGCAGGGATACTGTAGGACAGCTAGATATAAAGCTCATCTTCTAAAAGACATCTTTCTTGATATAACTTGCAGCGCTCGCATGTTCACACGTATCACATCTGCTTGTGTTTGCTCCCTTTCTACTGTTTCACGTCAGTTTACGATCAGAGGGGGAAAAAAACAGCTGCCAACTTTGTACGTAAAGTCCTATTTTTCGTTCTTGTCGAAAAGTACATTCAAAGTAACTTGGACACCAGCTGCAGTATCTCTATAGTGATTGGCCACATGATCGCTGCATCAATCACAATCATTTTTGTTCACGATCATATTGGATATGCAAAGTTCACATTTCCTTGTTCTGAGGTGAATGAGGCGCATCGTTAGATTGCTCCGCCTCCGTAGTGCATAGCTCTCAGTTAGAGGGAGGAGCCTCCTCCTCTCGTCGCCTGACTGGAGTTGAGTCTTTTTGTTCTTTAGATTCATTGGTTCATCAGCTTGACCGGAGGGGTCCCGATAGGTCAGAAGAAAACAGTCACATCTGATACAGCAAATCAGATTTGTCAGAAAACACGTAATCTACAGTATGTGGTAGACTGGACCAGTTTGAACAGGAGGCTTGACCACGTCTCAGTTGGGAAATTGTAAAACTTGGTTCCGTGTCACGTCTGAACACGTTACATCGGAAAGGTAACAGACAGATTTGACAGTGCAGCACAGACTGATTTTACGCCTGGGTGTGTGTGCAGCGTGACGGCTGCGTCTCCGATCTACTGAGTCTACATTTTCACCATCTATTCTTTTGTGAACCGAGCACGGTACGTGGAGAAAATAGGCGAGACCTCGACTCTCTAGAGGAGCAGCGCAGCTCACACTCAGGAGACGCAACTGAGACACGTGGCTCACACAGCCAGTGTGGCCGAGGCGTTAGTCTAAGTGTTTCTTAATGAAGTGGACACCAGCTGAGGCTGCACTGACAGACAGTTGAATTGTGATTTTAACAGTATTTACAAACAGTCCATGCTACCAGTCTTCATTTGGCTCTGTCTCTGTCTGTAAATCACAAATTAAAGTCTTATTACTTTAAAATCCCTTCATCACCTTAGTGATAATTTTCGGGCCATAGTAGGCCTCTGTTTTAAAGCTGTGCAAACTCCTGCTTGTAGTTCAGCTTGATCAGTGCACTGCCTGTACAGCGTGTCTTCCTCTAGTATAGTGGGATTGTAACAGATGTTAAAAGAGTGATATGGCACAGAAATGCCATGTTGTCTCCTTCCTTTGCTTCCATATTTAAAATGTTTAAAGTCAGCCTTAATGTGGCAAAAATGTTCTTTTTTCTTCTTCACTTCATCCATCCATCTTTCACTCTTGGCTCAGCAGCTCAACCTCCTCTCCTCTATCACCCTCTCTCAGTCCCAGTGCAGCTGCAGGTCATGTGAATCCAGGAAGTCAGTTGGGATCCCCAGTGGTGTGAGTGCCCCTGCAGGACCCGGGGGCATGGTGAGGTCCAGCCACTCCATATTGTCCAGTGTCGGGTCAGACAGGCCCATGTTGAACGAGGAAGTGGGTGAGGAGGAATCGCAGAAAGACAGGTCTGATGTGTCCATGGGTGAGTAAGGTTGCTGGTCCATCAGCTGGGCCTGAAGCTCCTCCATCAGACCCTGTGTGCGCAGGTCTGACGCCGGTGACGTTCCAGCCAGCGTCCCCTCCAGGAAGGCCTCCAGCTGGTTGTCTGTGGCCAGAGAGGAGAGGCTTGGCAGGCAGGGGTCGACAGCGAGGCTCAGGGTGGGTGGAGGGGCCAAATGGACCTGTGGAGGTGGTCTGGAGAGCACTGTGTTCACAGGCAGGGTGGTGATACTGGCTGTGATGGGGTGGCTCTTACCAAGAGACACTGAGGGGTCCTGCTGGATAAAAGGTGTCATTTCTGGACAGGAAACAAAGAACAGGACAAAGAATTAAAACATGGATTAGTATTTGTTATAGAAAGCAGGATATTTAAATACATGATGTATTTGTAAATGATGTATTTGTATATAATTTAATACCAGGTGCAACGTTTTATATGATGTCATCGTCACGAAAAGCGCAAATGTTTTGAATGTTTTTTTTGGGACAATGGCAGGAGAGAGATATCGAAGCAGATTACAGCAGAGTTTCATCGATGAAAACAATGATGAAGAAGACTGACCAACCCACTGACCAAGGCTCAGTCAGTAAGAGAAGTGTTTGAGGAGGAGGAAGAAGGAGGGATGTCGTGAGTTAGGCTTTACTAGTCTTAAAAAATTATCCTGAACTTTAGGAGCCTGAGAAATTAAAGTTTTTGTAGACCGCAATTTTGTAAGCTGTTCAGAAACGCTTTGCTATAACAGTGTGTTTTTATACAAGTTTACATTACAATTTACAAGACAGTTAATTTACAATGGGGACACTATAGAGTTACAGCAGTTTCCCTGAGCCTTGGATGTTATCAACTTTCTCAAATTCAACAGATTGTTGTGTACTGTCAAGTTACCTCCACTCTCTATGAGGATGTCGAACAAGTCATCCATTTGCTGGCTGGTTGCCGTAGGAACCTGAGAAGATAGCCAAAAGGGTAAAGAGACTTGAGGCTAGTACACAAAAGAGTGAATTAATCGTCAATTCTGAAAAACAACAACAAAAAAAAACTGTTTTTATGCTTTTTTGTTTTCTGAAGGACGGAGCAGATGGTTTAACTAACCTGCGAAACATTGTTGATGTGCATGTTGCGGCTCTGCTTGACAGCTTCCTCGTAGCGGGGAGGCTCTCTTGATTTGGGAGGCTGACTGATAAGAGAGGTGGGCTGGAGGATGAAGGCAGGCTGGGGCGAAGGAGACTGGAGGAATGAGAGAGAGTTGGAGAAAATGCAGGCGGGGTTAAAGTCTGAGGTTTGTGAAGCAATTGCTAAGCAAGTTGAGAAATTTGTTCAAAAAAATAGTAAATCAAAAAGCATCAAACTATTATAGGTTGAACCAAAGTAACCCGCCTCCCTTTTGTAATAACTCAGCTCTGATACCTTATTAAGGGGTCCATTGGAGATGCGGTGGTTGGGTGAGGCCCGTGGAGAAACCCTGTTCTCTGGGGAGCTTCTGAGGAAATGCTGGGGATTCATCTCAGGCCGACCCTGGTTCTCTAAACCAGTAGAACTATTGCACACTGTCAGAGTCTGTCAAGACACAGAGAACATCTGATATTAGTCCTTAATGTATCATTTGATTTGATGTCATCATAACAACACAGCATAAATAAATAATAATAGAGATAAGAGATAACTGAAGACAAAAAACCCTTCAAATGAAACAAGGCACAATTATATCTGTCAAAAATGTTCTTATTATAGATAAAAACAAATATAGCTGCTATATTAAGTTTTACAAACACACATCTCTGTAGTGGATGATATAAAAATAATCTCTACAGTCACAATCACATCAGATCATGACAGATCAACTATTGATTTTGATAAATACAAAGCTACACAGCTGAGTGGAGGCCTGACTGACCTGTAGCAGCGGGTTGTGGTTTGGTAACTGCTGGTTGGGTGCTGTCTCCATCTGAAAGCTCTGCAGCTGAGGAACAGACGTCTGTACCAGGCCTGGATTTGAGACTGCGGCCTGGAGAACAGGCTGAGATGTGGAGGGAAGCAAACAGAACCCTGAGTCTACACATCCAGTTCTCCAAATCAAAACTCACTCTACTAAAGCAGTTAAACATGCTATTATGATTTTGACACCATACAATATACAACTAACGCAAGGACTCATAGGTTGAAGGCTTCTATTGAAACACTGCTCATTTACTTTGAATAGGGTGACGTTATGCATTGCTCAACCTTATTTTGGTTCTGTTGTGTCAGGTTGCGTCCCGTTCCTTGCACTGCGTACCGTAAGGCCGGCAGTAGAGGCACCAGTCAATCAAATCGTAATTACACAAATACTTAAGCACACACAGGAGACAATCAAATCAGAGCGAGCTGGTGAACCTGGTGTGCGTTCATCTGGTTGTGGATTTTGTTTCCTGTGTACTTTTCATCAGTATTGCATTGAGGGCTAGCAAGGCACTAAAACTCAAAAGAAACTTATGTTGAATGTCCAAAGTACAAAACTGTTAACGCAATATATACATACGAGTCCAGCGTCACTCTGATCTTACCTGCAGGCTGACAGTGGTGCTTGGCAGCTGGATTGTAGTAGCGTTGTTCGGTAGTGAGACCGGGAGCAGGATCTGAGTCCCACCCTGGCCAGTCAGCATTTGGGAAACTCCACCTGTGTGGCTGATGAAGAACTGCTGCAGGCTGGGTGCAGTGGTTTGAGACTGAGTCTGGAGTTTGGGACTTCTCTGTGACTGTGAGAGCAGCTGCGGGCTGGTGCTTACTTGGGGCTGGATCTGCGTGATGAGCTGGGTCGGAGTCTGCAGTTGGAGCGGCTTGCCACCAGAAACAGTGACATCCTCCAACTTCACCATGGTCGGGAGGGGGCTTGTGAGAGCAGGGGAGCCCAAGACAGAGTTTTGGATTGTGGCATTAGTGGATGAACAGTTTGACAGGACCGTACTCTCCATTTTTACGACATTTGAATTCAGGACAGTAGCAACAGGATTCATGGCAGGGACAGAGGTTAGTTTCGGAGATACAGAGGTAGACTCGGCACTGCAGCCACCCAGACCTCTCTTCTCCACCTCCAGCTGAGTCTTCAGCTCCTCCACCAACCTCTGCTCGTGCTCCAGCTTCCTCATCAACTCCTCTATCTGCCTCTCCTTCTCATGGAGCCTCCTGTCCTTTTCCTCCGGGATGTGAAAAGACAGGAGCGGTGAGGACTGTGGACCTGCTGAGCCAGAGCTCATCACTTGTACTTCGGAATGTGCCACAGACATGCCCACATCCTGCTGGAGGCTGGAGGGCTCAGTGGGGTTGGGTGAGACTGGTGGCGTGGATCTCATGCTCTCTAGAGTCACCTGCTGGACTGGAAGGACAATGGTTTGGGTGGTGCAGGTGGTGGTGGCAGTGGTGACGTCCATGGGGGTGGAGGTGGTAGTGGTCGGTTGAGGAATGCTGGTAGGAGCAGAGGTGCGGAGATTGTCCTGGAATGGCTTAAGTCTCTCTATCAGGTCAGTTTTTGTTCCTGACACAGGAAGGCCTCGCAGCTTTAGCTCCAGTTTCAGCTCTGCCACCTACAAAGATATGGACATGATCCCATCAGAACTTTAGATAAGTGTTTGGAATATTTATAAGTATGTTAATATGTTTGCTATGGAGAATAACACTTTGCTTTATGTATGGATTGAAAAAAAAAAGATTTATTAACCACTGAGCCTTTAGAAACGTAAGCTTTCACACTGTTAGTCTTTTACTTTCAGACAGAGCCAGAGTCACCCTTTTTCCAGTCTTTATGCTAAGATAAGCACTGTCTGGATGTAGCTTCATATTTACTGTATAGACATGAGATTGGTATCAATCCTCTGCTCTCACTGTCATCGAGAAAGCCAATAAACCTAGATCTGAAAATGTCTAACTATTCCTTTAAAGTGCTGGTGTGAGAAATTTTTAGCTGTGAAAAATAAATCAAAAAGTTTAAAGATTAAATTTAAGGTGACACTTAACACAAAACAAAACATGTTTTTTTGGTTTCTTTAATTACCATGCAGCTTTATATTTATTTCATCTTTGTAATCTAATTTAACAAATGGTAAAAATACAGAATAAAAACCTTTTATTATCCTACGAATTTCCAAGAACTGCCTCTACAATTATTCTGATACAGTTTGGTTTAATCCGCTGAGCAGACCTGTGAAGACTTAAGTGTCAGCCCCTCTCTAAGCCTATTATTATGACAATACTTTTTAAACAGCTAGAGCAAGATGTTTTAAGCTACATGTGTGAAAAGTTTGCTGCTACAAAAACAGAAAAATGTTTCCACGGACCTTCATCTCCTCCAAGTTGGCAGGCAAGACTCCTGGCTTGCGATTGGACAGCGAGTTTGGCCGGGCCGCAGATGTAGGCAGAGGGGGAGGCGGAGGAGCAGTGGGCAGAGACACCATGATGGAGGTTGGCAGGCTGCTGCCAGCGCCGCTCTGACCCTCTGCCACAGGTCTACAGAGAGAAAAGAAAAAAAGTTGATTTTTATTAGAGGAAATCATTTATACGAGTAAGAAACTGAGAGAGGAAGGGGGGGGGGGCGGGGGTATTGTTGTTTAGAGCATTGGAAAGAGAGGAAACACAGAGGAAATCTGCTCCAATATGGGCAGACCATCCACCCAGTGCCATGGGCCTCACTAACAAAGCCAGTCAACCAAACACAGTACACAAAGAGCGCGGCCGTGCGGCAGCAGAGAGGCCTTTTGTGAAAACAGCAGCTGGTGAAACAACATCCTGTTATTCATTAATATGATTAGACATGGAGTAGTTACTGTAAACTAGCTAATGGCCCTGGATTGTTGAGACTAACAATATTTGGCTCACTTTCAGACAATTTAAAACAAAGAATCATGGAGGTGAGCCAAACTACTACTACCCAGAGCTTGTGATTTAGGTAACGTAGATCAACCGATAAATCCAAATCTTTGCAGTGGAGCTAATGTTCTTCTTCACCACAATGGTCCACAACAACGGTCACATTACTCAGGCATCGACCCGCCTATCCATCTCGCACTCCATGTTTCCCCTACTCATGAACAAGACCAAGAGACACTTAAACTCCTTCACTTGGAGCAACATACCTCCCCCCAGAGCAATCCACTGTTGGATGAGGCAATAAATAAATATGTTCATGAAAAATACAATACAATTACTTTTTTCCCCTCATTTTGGTGATGGCAGTCATAGTTTGTAGTTGTAGTGGTTTGTTTACATACTTGAGTGGTGCTGGTAGTATAGTCTGGTAGTTGTAGTGCTGCTGTTGCTGGCTGAGGATCTGCAGCTGGAGGAATAGCTGCTGCTGCTGCAGTAGTCGGGCATAAGACGAGTCCATGGGTGCTTCACTGACCTCCTGCTTCTGGTCTGGAGGAACATACTGGTGGTATTTCAGCTTCTTCACCCTGGACTTTGGCTCTTTGCCTTTCTTACTGCGACTCTTCTCTGAGGGTGTCTTCGGCTGGCTTTGCTGTGGTGGGAGGGAAATGTTTTACCATTCGGTTTGTCCAACAGCATTGAGACATTATTGTGTTCAGAGAGGTGGGAGAAATTGTAGCCCTCACTTTCACCAGTGTTGGGCCTGGTTTCGAGGGAGCAACAGAGATGGCTGGGCGAGCGGCCAGAAGCTCACTGGTAGAGATCACTTTCACAAGGTCTGTTGGTGCTTGTGTAGCAACTGGGAGGGCCTGAATTAAAGTCAAAAACATTTCAGAAAAATACGTAATACTGTTTAGTAACAAGAGTGATTATTTTAAAATTCAATTGAGCTGCATAATGGTAGTAAGGATAAGATATTTTTTAAAACAACACACTATGCTGGAAATTCTGTCAACTGATTTTGCAGGATTTTCTGGGAGCCTGGTCTGTGAGCAGCCTGTGATTTGCTTCCCTGGTTGACCACTCTAAAGAGTTTGGCTTTACCCCATTGCATACAGGTGAACAATCCACCACACAACTACAAGGATTATCTAACCTGAAAAATGTTGCTGGAAAGTGGTGGAGGTGCTAGAGCAGGAGATGGAGTATCTGGTACTTTGCTCTCCGCTGGTGAGGGGACAGAGGCTTGGGACTCCTGGCTGGCTGGCTGCTCTGGGGACAGAGCATCGCAGCTGTCTTCATCCAACACCTTAGGGTAATTCACCTGGCCCACTGAGAGACAAATAAAGACAAAGATTGTATTTCGCTCTCTATAATCCCCTGTATTATGTTTGTTCAAGCAAAGACTTCCCCCTGCTGTTGTGTGTATTATTGAGGCAAGATCTCTGCTGCCATTTCCCTCACCAATGATGGCTTGTTTAACGCTGGAATCCACTGGCAGGATGTTCTTCTCCACCAGCTCCATCGGGCCGGGTCTCTGAGCGATCATCTCGTTCAGATTGTCGGCCAGACGGGCCCTCTTCAGCCTCATCTGGGTGGCCTGCAGTGAGGGCTCTGCTCCAGTCTCTGGGAAATGTCACACAGTGTAAATTGTATATCGTACTGTATAGTGTCAGCTTAAAGATGTTGTGTTTTCAGTGTTTGAATCTAGAAACACCTCTTATATTTGGCAGCCATGTCCTTAATTGTATGGCCCACCACTGCTAAACATATGTACAGTCGGAAGAAAGTCTTTATGCTACCTTGCTTTAAAAGACCCACAGGAAACACTACATAAAACATCAGGTCTACATACTGTGAACTAAACAATTATCAGTACCTTGTAGGATGTGCATCCTGACCAGCTCTGCTCTCTCTGGACGACTGCGGATCTTGTGCTTCAGGAAATTCTCAGTCTTTAAAAAAAGTTGGGTCAAAACAGTTATTAAACTAGCTTAACTGCTGCACGTTCATATTTAGCACTTTCTTTCTTAACTGTGTGACCTTACCCTGGCTCTCTCCAAGCTGCGGATCTGCCCATGGAATGCTGCAGGGCTCTTGAGAGCTGCAACACATAACATTTTCATCAAAGCACAAGTATATCGTTGACAACAAATGTGATCCAGAGGTAATATGTTTATTTATAATTTTGTAATTATAAACCTGTCCAGTCCACATTAGCTTTTAAGTGAATGATGGAGAAGTGCTGAGACTCACGTGGCATGATGCCCTGGTCAACCAGCTGCTCTCGGGTTCGCCTTTGCTGAAGTCTCAACTGCAGGACTGAAAGAAAAAGACAGAAAAAAATGTTTTCAAAAACTAGAATTACCGCACTGTGGTTGTATGCATCCTTGAGATATCGTGTTCACAATAATGGAACAGACGGACAACCCAGAAAAAATTAATCCTCTGGCTGTTGCCGGCCTTAAAAAAAAGAAAAGAAAAAAGATTTTGTTAAAAAAGGGAAATATATGAGGTAGTAAACAAAACAAAAAACAAAAAGGAAACAAAAAAAAAAGGGAAGACAATGAGATCAGACTGAAGATGTAACCACACACTAACCACTCCCACTGATGTCTACCTCATATCCTACCAACATCATTTTCATATAATGCACTCAATACTCTGGTCGTTGGATATTTTACCAGTCCACCACATTTCTATAAACATTGGTTACACTCAATTGCAGGATAGTGTGATGACTCCACCAGCTATTCATGTGCTGGTATGGTATAGAAAAGCCTTCAGCAAACTTTCACTCGAGTCCTATTGTTTAGGATCGGTTTGGCATTTGACTTTTGAGAGCTACTCAGTACAACGTCAGCCCTTCCCCACTCTTACTTTACCAGAGTTTGACATTTCCTGGTCTGTTATTTAAGGAGCACGAGCCTGCTGTTTTATTGTCTGGAACACTCTGACCCAAAAACGAATCAACTGTACCAGGCAATTTTGAGAGGCAAAACACTAGATTTGACAATTCTTCATTGAAAGGACTAAAAACGCCTTGACCCTTGAGTGTGTGTGTGTGTGTGTGTGTATATATATATATATATATATATATATATATATATCGTTTTCAACGACATTCAGTTACTATTTTCTTCAAGGGAACAGGATGTTCTATTTTGGTTTCCTTTTAATTGCGTCATATCCAAATTACCCGTGGCTTTGCCCATCCCTGCTCTAACTTCTGGGGCAAATGACGTATAAAATGACAGCTAGCCAGTTAGCTAGTTGGCTATGTTTTCCTTCCACTGTTTATATTGGTCTGTTGTAATGGATCGCAATCATTCATTGCTGTTTATTGTGCGTTCTGTTGCACCAAGGCACAAGAAAACCAAGCGACCCAAGAAGATATACAACTCCCCATGCAGCTTCACCTTGTCATCTTAAAACTATATCTGAATTAATTATATTGATTGATAGACCCCTAGTGGCCGAAGTTGTATACTGTACCTACATTTATTCAATCTTTTCATTTAAAACTGTTAAAATCAGGGTTATTAATGTAATGATTGAGCTAGTGCCTCCCATAGCTGACTAACCCGCAACATTTCCAGATCTACAGGACACAATAAAAACAAATAAGAGGAGTTCTCACCTGCTCTGAACCTATCGCAGCAGTTGCAGAGCTTCTCTATGTCCATACAGGCCATGCTCTTGTACTACTGCTGACTTTGATTCCAGTTTGAGAGCCTGTGTATTATTCCCAAACTTAGACACTGACACATAATCAACTGTATGATGCAAATCCACAGCACTGCAACATCTATGAATGATATAGAAGCAACACTGGGCCCGTCCTTTATATCTTTTCTATTACTGGTCCACAGCCCCCTCCTCCCACTCTACTCTCACTTCCCTCACTCACTCAGCTCTGTTTATGATGGTACATTTTCTGGCTGTGGATGATCTATGCCGCCAAATGTGAAGGACTACACTGGTTCCTTGTAGTGTGGGAGCAACAAAGGTAATTCAGAGCTTTGTATGTGAATTTGTAAGGGAGCTTACAACAAAGTAAATTAAGTATAACGTGATCATTTGATAAATAAAACATGGCTCATGGGTAAAGATACTTCTCCATTCACAGGAAGTGACACATCATAGCTGAAAAAAACAAATCTCTTGCTCTGACAGGAAATAGCTCATCTGAATGACTTTGTTGTCCATTCATTATCACCATAGATATGCTGATGTGTTACACATTAACTGAGGACTTGTATCTCCCAGGGTGCGACCACTGATTAAATTATCTTTTGTCATAGAGATCTTTGCCTCCAAAAAACTGCTGAGGTGAAACATATAAAGAAAATCTATCTGCATGTCTGAAAGCATCTATATGGTAGAATTTGGTATTCAAGGGAAAGTGGGTATACAACCCTGAAAGCTGTGATCAGTTTGAGCCTCAGCTACACTTAGTAAAAAGTTGAGAAAGGTATTCAGCGGAGACATGTTTGTTCAAGGTGACTCATATAGAAACTTCCAGTCAGTGGCATTCTCCTCGATTCCTACAGGAAGCACTGTCCTGCCTCACAAACACAAGTTGACCTTTGACCTCAGCAGGCTGTGGAGAGTAGTGAATGATATGACACGCACACATCAGACCGGTTGGCAGGTGGGTCCACATAGGGAACACAGGCTTGAATATAAATGACAGAGAGGGAGACTTAACCCCCCTCCAACCAAAGATAAGTGATGAAAAGCGTCAAACAAAAAAACAGTAGTATCAGAATACCAACGAGGAATCTCACCATAGTCAACGCTTTCTGAAATAAATTCAGTCAATTCTTGTAGAGAGTTAGAAGACATTGTTAAACGTTTAGGCTTAATTACTCAACTAAAAAGAAAGTCACTAGCATTTTCTATTTTCTCTTTCCTAAAACATCTTCACAGGTTTTCCCTGCTGTCACTGACCTTGGTTTTACAGACTACCACATACTGATCAGACTCTCAGTCCCTGTCACTACAAACTCAGTCCTGAATCTCATCATCTTCCTGTTGTCAGAGCAGCTCTTCTTCGCTTCCGCCATACTTTCTGAGCCTCCTGCCCCACACAACCAGAGTGGTCCTCTACTCTTGTCATGATGGGTGACAGATTGACACCTGCATGTCAAAACCAACATGGCAGAAGTGGCTCTGGTGTTAGCGAAGTGCTAGGGATGGCTTAGCCGGTGGAAAGTATGAGGTTTGTGTGTCTTCTCACTGGAGGGGAAATGACAAACGCTGAGATGACGTGTGGGTGCTACTACTGTTGACATTCCACAGAAATTTTCCGCAGTCAAGATGTGTTGCTGGGCTCTCCTGCAGAGCGCAGCAGACAGTGCACAACAAGTAGGAATTTGCATGTTTAATCTGGCCTGGAACAGCTCTGGCTTAATGCGCTGTGTTTGGTGACTGTATCGGAAAAATACATGAGCGCAGTGATAAGTATCAGTATGCCATCTAAGCCATGATTAGGATATGTAGTAGAAATGAAGTAGAACATGTAGATTTGCACAAATCACACATAAGTCCTTGGTTCAATTCTCCATTCACAGGAGGTGACACATCATAGTTTACAAGACCACTGATTAAAACATAATTTTTTGACATAAAGAACTTTGCAAAAAACATACCACTGCAGAGGATTAAACATTTCAAGAAAATCTACACCGACTCCCGTTCAATCAATAAATCCAGAGAACTGGAGCAGCTATATAGTAGAATTTGGTATTCAAGGGAAAGTGGGTATACAACCCTGAAAGTTACGATCAGTTTTGGCCCCAGCTGCACTACAGCAGCAGACACTGCACAAAAAGTAGGTATTTTGCATGTTTAATCTGGAACAGCACTGGCTTAATGCCCTGCATTTGGTGACTGTATCCGAAGGTGTTTCTGAGCGTAGTGATCAGTATCAGTACACCATCTGAGCCATTTTTGGGAACTGGCAAATGCAAGCGCAACTCTAACCCTCTTCTTAAGTCTGGTAATGACGTACCCATCCATCAGTGCCTGGCTCAGTCCATTGTGAATGCATAAAACAACAGCAGCGTTGTGAGGGTGATGAGAAGCACACAGGCTGGTTAACAGGATGGCAGAAATTTGGGTTTGAGGAGAAGCTGATGGATGAAGTTTCAGGAGCTGCGGACCAATGGTTTTTGCTTCATTTGGAACTCATTAGGGAGTATATGCACTCGCATTAATAAAAACTGTGTAGGCCATCTATGCATGAAGGGCATTTGAGGCTAAACTGGGCGGATATATACACGTCACCAAGCTGGAAAAGTTGTAAAAAAGACAAATATGATGTAATTACAAATCATACTTTTTTCAGCAATATGCTGGCGGGAGTGGAGCCAACTTGAGAGAGGAGGTAAATACCTACATATTTTTTTCCCCAGCCGGAAAGGTCTGTTTTTGTGTCTTCTTCTATGTACTCACCATTTTTGCGTTCACTGAGCGGAGGTAGGTTCTGTGCAGGCTGCAGCGTTAGCTCCTCCAGCTCATGGGTCACCGCCTCACTCTGGGGACTGGGCACGAGCAGACCCAACATCCCACAATCCCCCTCTGCACCAAGCTGCCACTGAGAAGCCTGGGGCTCCATCCCGCCTCAGGAGAGGTGCGGGTTGATGAGGGTCCCAGACAAGCAACAGGGGTGTAAGTCTCCGTCCCTTTATGTTACGTCTCGCTGCTACCTGTGTGGATACAAGAAAAAAAAAGGACATGAGACAATGAGGCGTTAGAAGGGAAATAATGACGGCTCCTCTGCTCTCACTGAACAACTTGCACAGGAGGAATACATCACTCTGGGATATTTTGTGGGCTCCTCGTGAACAGTAATTCAGAATAATCATCATCATCCAGTTGGTATGACTACTTCACCCAACTGCTGAAATGCTAAGAGTGGCATTTTGTTTCAGCCATCTGGAAGAGCTCAGTCACTGCCCAAATTATTCATTAAACGAGCTGGGTTGGCTATTACACTGAATAATCACTTCAAACCACTGCTCATGAGAAACAACGCCAGTTTGGGCATGAATGTTCCCTCTGTTCAGAGAGGCTTCATAATCTGGAATATGACGTCGCTGGCGGTTTCAAACAGAGGGTAAGGAAACATTTTGGGGAGCAAAACAAACAGTTTAGTATCCATGGCTTCCCAACAGCCTCTTAACCAGAGGATGACAGACTGCTCAGTCTGAACATGTATGCTATTTATCGCTCTCCGGCAGCACCCACACTATCCATTCCAGGACGTAAGCACTCTTTACTAACCGTCCTGATGTGTTGCTTTTGGCTGAGAACAACTGTGTTCCTATGGCTGCCTTTATTCCTCCCTGCAGAGCCAATAAGTGCCAAAGGCATTAGACGGCAGAGGAACACATTTGGCTACAACACACGTAAATGTGGTCTGCTCTGGTTGCTGGAGGCTTATGCAAGGTATCCAAACACAACAAATCATTAACACTCTTTTATTATGTATGGCTTTGCTTTTCTATCCCTTAAAAAGTATATGATCAGATATGGTGCAGTTTCTCTGTTCAAGAAAGAATACAAGATGTTTCGCTAAATCAATGACAAGTTTAAGAAGATTTTCAGTAAGTGTTTGCTGTTTTCACTAAACATGATCTACCCTAACTACCACAGTTGTTACAGAGATAAAACTTAAAGGAGACACTTAAATCAGTGAAATGGAAGTGTTGAAATGCAGAGACGTAGCATTTTAGAAAAACTGGTCCAAAGCACCAATAGTTTATTCAAAAAAATATCCCTGTAATGAACGTTGCCATCTTGAGCATTTGGAGCCACAGTCTGCACAGTAGCGCTCGAGGGATGGACCAGTGGTATTAGGAATTCAGCGGTACACATGCTCAACCTGTTTTATAGAAGCAAATTAATTAAAACCAGACTTACTGGACAATGGAACACTTGAAGAACCACGTAAAATGATAGGAACCATATTGGAGAAAAGTTTATATTTATGTGTACTTTGACTATTTAGTTTGGTCCATGTTCCATCATCTAACGTGGAGGAGGGATTTAGTACCTATTTTGCATGCAGCTACCTAGCTAAGATGTTTTTGATTCTTTATTGGAGAGCTGTCTCAATAATCAAATTTCATAAATTACGATGGGAGTTTATCCAAGTCTAATTGGCAAATACTGGTAATCTGAACTGGGGTGTGCTGAATTTGACCACAGCTTCAAAACTCCCCCACTCTTCAGAACTTGACTTCTTACAATTAAGTGTCAGTTCAAGCTCAGTGGTCCATCAACAGCAACTTTAATAATTTATCCAGTCTCTGCTCTGTCAGATGTAGCCTTAACAGATTACACTCAGGAAATGCTTTGTGAGCCTCCTCTTGAATGACCTAGGCCATGTCAAGGCTGTTTGAAAAGGGACTCTGCTTACATTGACCCCGATTGAGGGATGTTCTTCACAGTCAGGTCAGATTTCATTGGGAGAGGGAGGAAGTGAGACAGTGAAATTAACTAATTTAATTAAAATAAAAAAAAGAAGAAAGGTGTTTAATCTGATGGAAATTAACAGATCCAGTCATATTTACAGGTTCTAAGGATGTGTCAGGGTTGGTTTGGCCCAGGGCTTCACAAAGAAGAGAAAAATACAAAGGAAGAGTGATGAAGAAAACAGGAACATAAATATAAATTCAGATTGCATTATGACCTCCATGACAACCTGAGTCATATTTGTTTGTATGCTTGCCTGTACATGGCCAAGCGGCAACCACAACCACAGGTTTATTGCTAATATATCAATAATAATAATTATGAGTTAATTCTTACGTTTAGTAGCAGAGGACAGCAAGGGACGGAGGAGAAAGATGTCTGGGGTACTTCCTGTGTAGAGTGACTTTAAGCCATGGAGTCAAACCTGACAGAGAGACACAGCAGAGAAAACATGAGAATCACAAACTACAAAATTCATCCAGTGAGAAACCATAGTTTAATGTGCTCATCGGGGAGACATTTCTTTTTGTTGACATCTGTAATATTAGCCACACACTGATGTGGTGTCCCTAACCTGCACATGAATACATTACAATCCACTGCGTTCAGAGCCTGCAACGTGTTTTTCAATAGTTGTTCTGTTTTTCAATAGTTGTTCTGTTTCTAACATTTGTTTTCATTCACACTCTTTTCTGTCTCTGTCCAGAATTACTGCTGGTCCCTCTTAGTCCATTTATGCTAAGCAAATAACCAGCGCTGAACACATTTTCTAGAAAGTTAAGTAAAAAAAAAGTATGGACCTGCTACTCTGTCCAAGACTTTCTTGACCCATGTCTCATCCTTCCACCACAGGTGCTTTTAGACATGCACTGAACTCCGGAGATTCCCCTGAAGTTTGCCGAGGACGCAAATGTTCAAATCAGTTGCTCTGGACATTTTTTCAGATGTTTACCTAGCAGCGCCCTAGTAAACTGTCCAGAGAATGATTCACAGGAACGTTGTAGAATAGAATTGTCATGTCAACTTGGAATGACATTTTCAAGAGCCATGTGCTATAAACAAAAAATGCAGCAGAATTTGTCATGTCCTGCCTCCTGCATGCTATGATCAGGCGTCACCCATCACCTGATTGTTCCAGAAATATTTCTATTGTAGCGAACGTGGCTGAACCAGACTATCTCCTGCTGTGTTCTTTGAAAGGCAAACATCTGGGAAATTGGGTCTGGACATTTTCCAGATTTCATGTCTGAAAACAGCTAAAGATTCTTGGAAATCCATTCAGTAGGTTTAATCCTGCTGACGAACAAACAATCCTGCTGACAGTTCCTATCCCTGGAAAAAACAACTAAAAGAAAATGAAACGAACACCAGCCTTATTAAATTAAACATACACACACAGCGCTGTTAGCACCATACATTGTTGCTTGAATAGGTGCGTTTGAAGATAAACAGAGAAGTGCCACTTCAAAATGTCTGAATGAAACTAGCCCACACTCAAGGCTGCATCAGGGTCTGAATGCTGATGTTCACAGGTTGCTAGGAAAACCTGCAGCCGTCTCTACGACAAAGGAAATGGGTCCTTCATGTACAGACAATAGAAACCCTAGCTACTTAAAACTGCTGACTACTTCAGAGCTGTAATGTAGTATCACACTGCCATCTGAGGCCGAGGGGCAGATGCTGGTTTTGTAGTACATTATGTGATAATACAATATTTGTTTATGTCCATTATTCCCTGACCACAGTCTTTAAGAACTGCAATGACTTTTATGCTTCTTTGCCAAGTTTATGCTTCTAATAATTTAATTGTTCCTTAAAAATGTAGTCAATAATCCTTATTTTCATGTAAACCTCTTGTTTCAAAAGAGAGATTTTTGGCAATGACTTTTAAACTAACAAAATATGCCCCCCTAAAAGAGTCAGAGTATAGATTTTATGTTAGATGGATTTTGAGTAAAAGTTAAGCTGCTTTCAGACAAGCACTGAACTCTGGAAGTGTATGTGTGAATGCAAATGTTCAAGTTTCTGCGGACATCCCCCACATGGCACCCCTAGTATAAAGTCTGCACTCCAGTGGTGCTGATGTGAAACCACAACAGGAGATCGTCCACAGGATTCACGGCAAGCAAGTTGAGGTGGTTGATGACTTTTTAAACATGTGACAGATGCAAAAATGAGGAAGACAAATATCTAAGCCACTGAAAATGTTAAGAGAGTGTGTGGTGATAAGAGCCAACGCCCCTGTCGATGTGCTCTAAACAAAAACATGTGATCTCTGAAGCACAGTTACGTAAGGCCCTGCCTCTGCACCACCCCTCACCTAACTCCTGTGGAAGAATTGTTGCTGTTGTGAACACGTCCCTGTAAACAGAGTCTCCCATTAAATTTTGCAAATGTAGAGTCAAACTGCGTAGAAAGTTCCTCTGCAGATGCACTGTACTGCCACTCTCACCTGTTTTTAGAGCGCCATAGAAGAAGCAATTTCTGGTATTGTAGTGTTAGCCAGAGCTAGCTCAAATGCAATTTGGCAATATTACCCACTGGAAAGTCCCACGAGTAAAACGGAGACGTGTACCGTATGCAAGACTTCATTTTGGCGGGGTGGCATAAGTGATTCCAATTACAACACAAGCAAAAGGCAATACAACAAGGATAGCAATCGTCACTTCTATGCATGGTAAGTACGCAAAATGGAATCGAACGTCTTTGAATATAATCCAGAGAAAGAAAGTGATGGCAAGATTCCAACAGATGGAGGAATACATGCTGTGTGTAAGTGTGTACCAGGGACAAAGTGAAAAGGAGGAATGAGGGGAGGAGAAAGGGAGCAGTGAAAGAGAGAGGAAGTAGCAAACAACTGTCACGGCTGATGAGGCGTTGTGGGATAAACATTGGCGCTGCCATGGCAGAATCAAAGAGCACAACCAGATGTCGGGTGCTGCGTGATGTTCTGCCCTCAACTGTTCTTTTAATGGCATGGCGGCAACAAGCACCATGTGTGTCATCAAAGGGTAACCCACACGTTTTGTACACACACACACACACACACACACACA